GTCAATTTTCAAACATTTTTTCTGATTTTCTGTTTTGGCTTCTGTCAAAATAGTGTAACCAATACCATAGCACCACCAGGCAGGTAGCCTCTCAAGCCAAAACTAACCTGTAAAGTGTACCAAGGCTGAAATCAGAGTGCTGCCTGCCACCACAATGGTTGTTAAAGTGAATAAATTCTTCTCTCAGTTTTCTCTGCTAGTCTACTGTATCTTTCCTTGCCAGTTTCTTACATTTTACTTTTTAAAAAAGGGAATTCTTTGTTTAATTTTATTTACTGTTATTATTTTTAAATTTTTCTATAGGGCCTGTGCACTCACCAAAGAGAGAGAGAAGGAAAGTGAGAAAGCAAACCACTTGGTCTGGGACTCAAACTGTGGTCAGTCATATGAGAGTCCAGCACCTTAGTGAGTGCACCACCTGCTGACCCCACATTTTACTTTTTTACTGTTCATGTTTTTCTAGCTGCTAATCTATCAATTGATCAAATAAAGTAATGTATTTTTCCTCAAGGGTAAACTGTCTAAATATAGCAAAGATTTCAAGGACATAAAACCTCTACAGTTCATTGTGTATTTTTGTATATCGTGTATTTTTGCATACATAAAATCTTTATTATTATAATATCTCATGACGTGAAACTAGTAGACATTCAATAAGTTTTCACTACTTAATTGTTTTAATTGATTTTCATTGTATCTGAAATGTAATACTAAAGTACATCTTATACGACTATCTACATAATTTGCAATAATTATTAAGTATAAATATCAAATGTAAGATGAATATATAAGTGTTGTAAACAAGTTAGTTGAGCTTATAGCTTATTACAGTCTTTTCAAATGAATACTTTCTAAAAAGTTATCATCATTACAGTCTTGATATTAAGATTAAGGCTAATTTTTCTTCCTCATAAGTTTTTTTTTTTTTTTTTGGAGAGATTTTCACTATAGGGCGCGTGCGCTCGCCAGACAGACAGAGAGAGACATTAGAGACAGAAAGCGAGAAATCACCCCCCAGGGGGGATGGTCACGCCGCAATCCCTTCTCCTCCATTCTCCTCTCGGGATCTTGGGCACGCACGCACACGCGCCCGGCGTGAGTTTTAAGCCACCGGGTCCAGGACGTGAACCGTGGTTGACTACGTGGGAGTCCAGCGACATAGCCATTACGCTAACTGTTGGTTCCCTTCCTCATAAGTTTTTAAATGTTCAAATATTCCTTTATGGGATGCTT